TTAAAAAAGTTTGTCAGCAAATATTGGAGTTACTAAATGAATGCTGCGAACAAGTAGAAGACACCCTTGGACTCGATATTTACCATAATCATTTCTCTTACACGATGTACCTTGATCTTTATGCTTATCGACTACCATCAAGAAGAATACAGTATGTGTGTCAATGCAGTCCTTCCAGTAAAGTCCATTACATTAAAGACATTGATGCTAAGAAGCAGACAAGCTCTGATCTTGTTTACTGCAAAATGAAAAGAATTCCTCGCCCCCTAACCATTAATGAGTCACTATGGTTTAAAGGAAATTTGTCACAAGAAAAACACCAAGAGGTATAAAATAATTATTATTTAATATTAAAAATTTTATTGTACTATTCAGACGCCACATTTGGAAAAGATTAATGAAGATAGTACTAGTAAGTGACATAATTTTTAATTTACATACCAATATACACCATTAATTACCATGTACTGTAATACATCTTAATTACATGTACTTTATATAGAGCCAACAATTCAAAAGGTCAAATTAGCTACAATTCACTCACCCACAGAGATCATTGAGTCCAATGATGATCAACAAAAAGGTATAAGTAGTCACTGTCACTGGTTTCACATTATTTATTTATATAATAGTCATATTGACTATCAGGAATCTGGTAGATATTGTTCAAGTGTTAAAAGATGGTTCCTTTCAAGCTATCAAATGGTTTGATCTTGGTCTCTACTTGGGTCTGATTCATAATGATCTCAAGGTTATTGAGACTAACTATCCACGAGATGCTGAGCGATGTCTCAGAGAATGTTTAGCAAAATGGCTTACAGATGATATTGAAGCAACATGGGACAAACTAGCTATTGCTGCTGGTGAAGTAAAAGAGACATCAGTAGCTGAATATATAAGTGAGATTATAAATTAATTACTAATAATAATAAACTGATAATTAATATAGGATCAACAAAAGAACTTTAATGGTATGCCAGGATTTGAAATTAATTAAAACTATAGTTACATTGTTACATTAGAATAAACTTATAATTATTAGTAGTTGCCATTTTTAGTGTGCAATGCTTAAGCTGCTGGAATGTAGTTCTTAAGTAGTTATTATGCCATTCGTTATGTAATTAGCTACTTTATTATAGTTGAATTATATTTTAAAATTTGATAAGCATTAAGTAAAATGCTGTTTTATTCTACCATAATGGAGTCAACATATTTTGTAAGTCAATTCTACAATTAGGCATTTCTTGATTGTTTCAAGTTGATTCTTGCTTTTATATTAATGGATGCTATTTAGCACAATGCTGGTGACTAAGGAAGGAAGCAGTTCCTGTCACAAGTAGTCAGTGTATATTGATATTTCCTGAATAGAGTCCAAATATACTTCCATAAAAGGAAAGACATCTTGGAAATGTTGATAGAATCTTGTCTACAGTACAAACACTACACTAACTAACCTTTAACAAAGCACATAATGATTCACTGCAGTAGTGGGTGAAAGTTCCATTTAAAAATATGTACATTACATTTACATGTATGTGTTCACAGTATTCATATCTAGAGCTAAGATTAGTTCCACCCAATGGTAGATACTATTATGATATCACAGTCACTATATGATTTTATGATGATGTCATTAATTAGTTATGGTAGCTACAGCATTAAAGTATTCCAATAATAGAATATCAACAGAATGAAGTACATGTACATGTACAGGTAATGGAACTGACTGTACACATAACTGCATGTACATGTATCTATGAAGCTTGTCTCTTCCTATCTATTTCTCAATCTCTCTCATAAAAATTACTCTCCAGCTGTAGAATGACCTGGTTGTGTATCATTGTCATTTACTACTAGTAATTTCTACTCCTCCATTCCATTGGATATCACTATGAGTGGATCTAACCTCTTGAGAAATGCAACAATAATAATAATAATAGTAATAATAATAATAATAATAATAATAATAATAATAATAATAATAATAATAATAATAATAATAATAAAGCAATAAGACAAGCAAACAACACGAGTAGTTCCAAGAAAGAGAGAGAGAGAGAGGAAGAATGATAAAGAGTATATTATAATCACAATATCAAGTCATAATTATTATTATTAATTATTATCAGTGGGTATTATTGTGTACTTTATTATCAGACAACGGTGCTTTGGGTGTTAGCAGCTGCCGATAATTCAAAATTAATCTTAGCCCCGCCCCCTCCTCCTCCCCCACTGTGATTGGACCCAAAGGAATGGATGGAGTTACGATCCTCACCACCAGAAGTTAGATCATCAGCACTAGCAG